ACATTTTAATCGAAAAAAATTTCACATAAATGTATGATAGAGGTTAGAGTCGGTATAAAAAGAATACTACCTTGTAATAAAACTATGTGGAACTCACCTTGCAGGAAATGGCTGGTTGTATTTGTATTCAAGGTGTTTTCTTGGACAGATCAGGATGACAAGGGTCAAAGGTACCACAAAACATGTCATTTTGTGGGGGATTTACCTAAAAGGAAATTGTCAAGGAATTTAAGCAAAAGGGATGCACAAAGTGGAACCAAAGTGGAAACATTTTACTTTCAAGGAAACCTCAAAAACTCGTACCTACTGACAATCCACTGGCTCAGCTATATGTATGAATAACATTGTGAGGTTTTTTAATTTCTTTGATGATCTATTTCCATTTCCATGTACAGTGGAGAACTATTCGTTCAGAAATCAAGAAAGGCATGGTGGGGTTAGACAGAATGTTTTATCTGCATTTGTGAGGAGTACTTGCAGGTTGTATCTGAGGCTTCATATAAGACCTCACCTCAACATGATTTGCATTAAAAGATGACAGTGACTGTGTGGAAATGACAAGGCATATTTGATAAATATAAAAGGGGAAAATCCATCCAAAGGTACACATCAAAAGCCTTTGAGCTTTGGTATGAAGCCTACCTGTTCTAATCCACTGCATGATTGGTACGGATAACTGATGCCTTTCTACTTGCTGGTTATCAAGCATGACTAGCTTGAAAGATGACTGGCTGGTTGGTAGGCTGATTGGCTGACAAGATGACTGGCTGGTTGGTAGGCTGATTGGTCCATGAGATAACATGGCTGGTTGGTAGGTTGATTGGTAGACAAGATGACTGGCTGGTTGGTGGGCTGATTGGTTGGCAAGATGACTGGCAGGTTTGTGTTGGCATGTACATTATTTATTGATGTCTTCAAGCACAGTATTTTCTATCAAAATCTGAAGACCCAAGGTCAACGGTGTTGTCATCTGACATGGAATAAACCTTATTGAGTTGGCTCACTGATGGCAGGCACCTGTTCCAAGTCTCCTGTAAAAGATCAGCCAAAGAAAACAATAAAGCACTTCAACAGTAGTCACATATCTGAGTTTTTTAACCCGACCTCTCCAGCCTACTTTGGCCAGAAAACCTGCAGACACATTACTTTGCATCATTTGTCAAAGTAGCTTGCCTGCCCTGTGTAATAAGATCCCACAGGTCAACTCTCCCCAAGGCCAAAAGCCTGGGAGTCTGTGGTTGCCAGTCACTACAAGACCCAACATTGGCACTGTTCAGTGGGACTAGATCCCATGGTCTCAACATGGCCAGTTTGTTCAGCTACTGCTGACTGCCAAGTGCATCAGATTGAATCAGACTTTTTCACCTGATGGGGTTAGGGTTTAAGGCCTCAAAACACATTTCGCCCCTAATCAGTAAGTCTGGTAATTACGTACGTGTATGTCAATTATTCAAGGCTAATGCCAGACGATAGCCATTCTACCAGACTACCCCCCCTGTCTCAATGTTCAAAGTAGAAAAAAAGTTGCGGTTTTGCAGAAAAAAAGGTTGCTGCGAGCCCTGTATTTTTCAATTTGGCTTTATCATCTAAAGTTTATTTATTCACCTAAACTGCAACTCCTCTGCTGTTCTTGTTTTTAGAATTTTGTTCATTTTATTCTCTCAACAGTCACCGCAATTCATTTGCTACACA